TAAGGAGACAGAACAAACAAAAGCAATTTCTCCTGTTGTAAAACTGTGTGTACATAAACATTTTAGAGAACCTGGTGACTCTTGATAGGAGTATCTGAAGAAAAGTGGAATTCTCAGAGAGACAAAGAATTTCTATTACTAGGCACAAGAGAGAAATGCTTTGAGTGTTTTCAGAGATAAATTTGTAGGATGTAGAATTAATATATTTGGAGTCCTGTGCATTTCTCTACCGATTACTGATTTCTTAAGAAGAAAAAATATTCCTGTACCATACAGATGGCAGATTTGTGGTAATCCTACATTCTGTCTAGGATGCCTCTTTCAAATAAGAAATGGAAGAGAAAAAAGTTTCTAAACCTGGCCATACATTAAAGGACCTGAGGAATGGTAAATTCATATTCAGTGCAGAGCCCTGAGTTTAAAGTAAGCACAAAAACTGTTAGTATGTCAGCTCCACCCTGCTCCTCTGAAATGTTCATTAATAAACTGTGTGGCACAGTGCCAGTGGTGACAAAGAAGGAAATAATAACTATATTTGTATAATTGGTAATGCCTTTCTTTTTTCCCCATGCAAATGGTAACTTTAAGCTTTGGTATATTTTGTAGTCTAGTTCCGCATTGCTCTGGTCCATGTTCAAAATTCAGAGCTTCAGTAATTCAAGGTAAATAATGGACACATGCCTTGATTTTTTAAAATCATTTTACTGCTAAAATTGCTTTTCCTCCTTTGCTTTCTCTATTGGTAGTGAATTCCCAAGTCTGAGGCTTGCATTGGATACCATTTGATATTCTTTACTTAACACAAAGACTCATGGGTAAAACAGATTTGCCACATGATCAGAAAGTATTCTGAGCTGGAAGGGACCCAGAAAGATCATCAAGTTCAGCTCTTAAGTGAATGGCCCATACAGGATCAAACCCACCACCTTGGTGTTTCTAGCACTGTGCTCTTCAGTAATTGAGCTAATCATGCCCTGTGAAACCACTTCAGAAACATCTTCAAATATGGATTAATTAAATTTGATTAATCACTCGTATCAGTACAATTTAAGCAGGATTCATCCAAATTTAAAGAAGAGGAAAAGCTGGCCAACACAGGCCATTAAAGACCATGGGCCAGGGTGCTCAGCGGGATTTCAACTTCAAAGCAGGTTTTCTCCCCAGAGCCAGCCCATTGTCCTGTAGTGACAGAGACAAAATGAAAGTTCTGAGCCAATGTGATGGTGTTGGTGGCCTTGTCCTTCACAAAATGCACCATTCAGGATGGGGAGCAGAGGGTGGGTCCCAGGCAGGATCACATGAAAGAAGACAGGGTGGTAAGGGGAGGTTTTAGGGTTAGCAGTATGTTACAGAGCATGGAGATGAGCTGGAGTCTCAGAGCTCTGGGGTGGAAGCAGGTCTGTGCATCTCCCCTCACTCATATGTGGTACCTTCTCTGCTGAGCAGGTGTGTTCTTCCAGCCCAGCATGCAGGTCATTCTCCCTGCTGGAGGTGAGGACAGCACTGAAAGCTGCCCTCCTTCCTCTCCCAAACCACACACTGCCCCCAGGGTGAGGAGTAGCCCAGGTTGTTCAAGCAGCAGTGACCCTTCTGTCCTCAGGTTTTTGAATGCCCTCAGAAGCCACCGACTCATCTACTTCTTTTGCAATTTTAGATTTTCTACTCTCAAATTCTCTATTTCATACCTGAGTGGTTCTAATATTTTTTTACAAGAATAACTGTAATTGCAATGCATTTCTTGGTTTCACCTACAGTATCATTATGCAAAGCAAAAGACTGGATTCAGCAACCTGTTAAAAAGACTGAGGGTTTGGGGTGGAATCCTGTGAAAATGTGAATATGATATAAGCAAGGGATTATTTGATTTTATTTTCATGAGTTTGGTTAGATTCTTATTTCACTTTTGATGACACTCCCTCTTGGACTCCACTTATTTCATGTTTGTAAGCCAAGGAAGTTTTGGTCCATAGGATGGCACCTAGAAAAAATGCATCTAGAAAAAATAGATACATTTGGTTTGTTAGAATTATAATAGGAAGAATAAAATGTTAGGTAAATTCAGCCTCAAACTTCAGAATAAATTAAAGGCAATTATATTAGCTGTTTTACATGGCAAGAAATCAAAGATATTGTATTTATAACAATACATCAATCTAATCCCAAAAATTTGCTTAATAGTCCTTAAACCTATTCAAGTAAGCCCTCACATGTTAAAACTAAAGATGATAAAGCAGTGGCAATAATTAAAAAACCTAACATATGTTTATATTTCATTATTCATAACAAACAAATTCAGTTTTGCATCATGTATCTAATTTATTTTTTCTAGGTAACTCTTTCATAATATTGATAATATTGATATCGAATTTATTTATATTTAAAGGTAACAGATATTTTAAAGCAGTTAGTATAGAAAGAATGTATTTATTATACATATTACACTCTGAAAAATCACAGGATTGATCAAAGCAACAATGAGAAGGGAAAAAAGGAGCCGTTATTTTAATTTTTTCTTTTGACTGTGGTAGCCTCTCTTTAAACAACTCTCAGCGTGAAATTCTTGTGAAACATAGTATAGGGAAACATCGCCCAGATCCTCCAGATGAAGCTCCTGGTTGGTATCTTAGATAAATCCCCATTTTTGGTCTTTCAAGTCTTATGTTCCATTGCAAAAATATCCTGTATCTTTTCTGAAGGTATTTATAGATGGCAGTCTGTCATGCCTGGAAAGTTCTTGGCTTGTTCTTATCTGAGTTGGCTCTCCAAGAAAATAGTGATTGTGTCAGACACAGAAACTGGTCCTTGGTTTGTGCAATGGTGCTCTTTGCCTTCAATGTTTACAGACATTGCTATAATATATTTGACATTTCATAAAGGCTCACATCATCCAGATCAATGCTGAGCTGCTGCAGCAGCCAGGAATATCTGTAATTGGAAACATAATCAGGTATTGAAAATTGAACATATTCTTCTCAACATGTCAACTTCTTTAATATGAGCAACTTTGTTTGCATGCTTGGCAAGACTGAAAGTGTTCTTTTGGCTAGTACCCACTTCCTTGATATGTAGCGTAATCTTAAATCTTTACTTAAATCTTTCTGTCATTTGATGTAAATCCAGAATATTTCAGTTCCCATTCTCTACTGCTGTTGTCACTGTGATCTGAGATTGATGCTATGTTCCAACCACACTGTGGATGTGTTTCACTAGAAAATAATGTGGGTAAAAATGAGTAAACAAAGAGTTTGTAAAAGTGGTTTGGGATCATTCATGATGAAAGTGCTGTGCTGCAAGTATATATTTTCTGGCCTGGATAAACACTACTTCCTGATTTCACCAGCTGAAAGATACAGCTAAGTTTACTAGAGCTCATATGGAACACAATACGTCTCTGGAGACTACTCAAACTGATATGAGACCAGATACTGAAATTTTACATTTTTCATCACCTTAAATAAAAAAAGAAGGAGGATAATTAAAATTCCTGTCTGGACACAAGTGTAGAAGATGATGTTCATCCTACTATTCAGTTTATTCAGCAGTTCTTCAGACTAACGTGGCCTTTTCAATATTCTTTTGAAAAAAAAAAAAAAGAGAAAAAGATGGAAAGTTCATATTTTATTGCTTTAGCTTGAATTCCCATATTTGAAGAGATTGATAACATAAGGCAAACAGTCAGTGCTACACTGCAATTTAGAATGGCCTTTTTCTTTGCCAAAATGCTGATTAAGAGAGTTCTGACCTATATTGTTTTTTACAACCGTGACCTTTCACATGCACAAAAAAATGGAAGTACTGATAATTAACCTCAATGAAATATGACTTAAAAACAGTACCAGATTTTTATAAGCTCCTAAGTAAAATATTTTTTTCTTCTTAAAATATCTGAGGCCGATTCTGTGTGTGGCATTGTAATTCCAAAACTTCAGGCTTAAGGCTAAACTTAGAGATGCAGTTTTCAGAGATAAAGCAGCTAACTGTAAATATTTTACTGAGATATTTATACAGATTTATGTTTAAGAAAGAATTGCTTCCAGATACTTCCAACAAACAATTTTATGATTTTATGATTCTAAGTCCATGAATTTCCCCTTTCTTGCATCATTAGTCTGTAAGTGTACTGACTACAAAAGTGCTCAAATTAAGTCAATATAACTAATTACTTACAGGCCAGGGTGAGCATGGAGTTTCACCCGAGAACCAAATTTGCAGATCATCCTTTATTATTTTTTTTAAAAAATCATCTGCATCTGAACCCTATAAAATTTATCTTGGGACATTAAAATTTGAAAATTAATTTTGTGGTATGCGTTGAACAGCCAATATTTATGCTGGCTGATGAAAGCACCAGCTGTGAACAATCAAATCCAAATAATAAATACCTGTTTTCTCTATTGTTTCTGGGGGAGAAGCAGTTTATTGTACTAGCTTTTGCAGCTGGCCTGTTGTAAGTTTATTTTACATGAAATGGTTGTAGGGAATGAATTAATCAGTTTGTAGAGTTGGCACTTGCAGAAAAAAATATCCACTGAAAAGCGTATTAATATAAAAAAAAATGTCAATTTTTTGTCTCTTGGATAAAGTAGAAAAAAAATTCTAAAATTGACTTGGAGATGAACTGATGATTTTGGATATGTCAAAGTGACAGAAGAGATTAGGACCATTAATATAGTGACCATTATCTCAATTATGACTGTGCTGAAGTCTGCAATTCAAAAAGGATCAACATTTGTATCTAGATATGAATTCATGTCTAATATTTGTGAAATAACAGTCTAATCCTGGAAGAAATAATTTTCTCTGTCTAGTTGAGATGTCAAGTGTAAGCAGTTAACTAAGTTTATGCAAAAGCCAAAGTATTTCTTTTTATATTGAAAATAGAAAATTGAAATACTGTCAGGAAGTTCTGGGTGAAGTTTATAAAAATTATAGAGGGGATGGCTATTTTTTGGGGTGTCTTCCTCCCATATTTATTTTTATTTTTTTCCTCTTTCCAGCAGCAGTCCTTTTCTACTTGAAAAACAGACTGAAAGGTTTTATTGCATTACATGGAGATCCCACAAACAATTTTAATGAAGCAAAATAACTGAGCTACCAGAGAGCAATGAGAAGCAAGTGTGGCAAGACAGGTACAGGTCGTTGCTCTTGTTATCTTCTGGGTTATTTTTTTTATTACTATTTAGTGTCAGAGCAAGTTGGAGAGCTTCTTCCTGAATCTCCATAGTTAACACATTTTACTGAAACTAAATTCAAATTTTGATGATTTTAGAATCTCTGAAAAGGGTATTTATTTTAAAATATTTTTGTATGTTTATTATTTGCATCAGATGCTGTTTCTCACTAAGTCCTAAGAAAATTATTTCATAACACAATGTTAATCCCAGTCATTGCCTAAGAAGTTTCTATAGTAGTACCTACAGTTTCTTGTAGCTGAAGGATTGTTTCACTTGAAGCCAGTAGTTCTTTACTCTTGGTAGTTGTAGCTGCTGCCTTCAAGTTTTATTGAAGCTGAATAAGATTTAATTATGGTAAATTGTCTGTCTGTATCTGTTGGCCCCTGTGCATAGCAATCTGCATAAGTACGACAGTTTTGCATGTGACAGAAATGCCTCATATGCACCACGTGGAGTAACACATTTCCCTTTGTGGGAGGACATCTGCTACCCTCTGGTTCATGGTTTCAAAACCCAGATGGGCCAAAGAGGTTTCAGCTCTGATGCATGTCAGCACAATTCCCACTGCTCTGTACAGCATCACTCTGTTATAGGTGATTTCTCTGAGGTTTACTCATTTGGGTACTACTGCAGTATTAAAAACTAAGTCCAACAGTTCTGTTCCATTTGCCCTCAGTTTTTTTTTTTATTTCAAACAGAAGCTGATGGTACTACTTCTACAAATCTGAGGACTTCCACACAATTTTCAGAAGGAGATATGTATATTCAACAAGGAAAACACCTTTATTCTCCTTTCCTTTCTTCCCTGGAAAAGGTCTGAGTTGGGCTGGTGTTGGAATCCAAATATAAATATATAATAAATATAATCCAAAATAAAAGTCTCTCTGAGCTCCTCAGAGAGAGAAAAGAATTAAAATATATTAAACCATAGACATAGAGTAAAAGTGTAGGCTTTAGTTTTAAGTAGGTAAAAATATAGCTTAAGTGCCCTGAGTCTGTGTTAGCTAGTGAAAAGCCTTATTACCCAGTTTAAAGTTCAGTGATAATACCCTTCACAGATTCAGCTTAGCTCTAGACATAATGAAAATGTAGTTTGCATTCTTGGATAAGAACAGATGGGATTATTCATGTAAATAGATAATACCCTATATGTAAGGTTTAAATAAAAAGAACATTGCTTTTGCATGTTATAATTAAGTTCAGATTGGTGTACAAAATATTGTTTTAGTAGTGTGTTTTTAGCTGATTGGATGATATATTAATTTAATTTCCTGTATTGGGGCTCAGAGAGAAACATTTGAAGATGAAGAACAGCAGCACCATCATCATCACCAACTGCTTTTGCAGCCCAGGACAACAGAACTCCACGCCGAGAATCTGCTGCCCTGAACATCAGGACCTTATACCAGAGAGCTGCTGCTCAGAACTCAGGACTTTATGCCAAAAGCTTTTAGCAAAGACTTTAAGTCTCTGTACTCTTTGCCTCTGAGACTGATGCTTTTATACAATAAATACCTTTCTAGCGACCATCATCTGTTCATGTCTCTTTGAGACCTAGAAATATTTCTGGATTCCCTGTTGAAACTCGACAGGCTGGGTATTTCTGAACATAGAAAAATAGTATGGGAACAGAACATGGATTCACATCTTCCAAGGAAAGTAGCCCTCTGCTCCACTTATTACTGACAGTGAGCTCTGAGCTCACCAAGCAGAAGCTATCTTAAACAGATTTGGGAAAGAGAATCTGATCCGTATCCAACAACATTTCATGATCACGTTATTAAGACGTTGTTTGACCAGTATCTGCTACTGCAGATGCTGAAAGCAGAATGTTGTTATTTTTGCCTGTGAGTTTTGTTTGACTGGTCTTTAATCCAGCACTTGATTTTATCCATTCCAGACACTGTGATGTGTTGCATACCTTCATCTTTCAAATCAGTCTTACTATGCACTAAAGTTTGAAAGTCAAGCAACTTCTCTAAACAGTGACATTAAAAACCAATAGAACTTCCTTTAAAAAGCCTCTTGACAAATACAAAGTATTAGCACGTTTCACAGATTCAAATATTCACAGACTGTTAAGTCAGAAAAAACACAGCTGTGTTCATCTAATCTTACTTGGATAGCATGAATTACAATATGGACAATTATCTGGAATAATTCATACAAAGTACAAATCCATCCAAAGTATGAATTATTGCTGAAATTAGGGAAATTATTATGTTGCTATTGTAAAAACTGCTCCTCAGTAATCAGTTTGGCACTCTATTTTCAGTCATGTAGCCAGAAATTCTTTTATGTCTCATCCCAATGTAGTGAGCAAAGTTTGCTGACAGAAACAGCATAGGATAATGCGGAGGCCTGTTAGACACTTTCTGAACTGAGCTGAAATATGGAACAGGACAAAATTAACAAAGTCTGAGCAGTGAAGCCAGGAGAAATGGGGCATCCAGCTCAGATGTGGGCAAGGTTTTATAAGGGTTTGTTTTTTGGTTTTGTTATACAAGGTCAAATGAAACACCTAAATTTAAAGGAAATTATAGATAAAGAACAACAAAAAAAAATTGTTTCAAAAAATTATACAGGTAGAACAGGAGAAGACTGTGGGAAAGATAAATTTCTATCACGGGTAGAAGAAGGAAATACTTGAAATTCTGTGAACAAAAATGTTGCTGCATTGAGAGAAGATGTTGTGTTGACAGATAAAGACATCATTTGGGGCTCTTAAGAGCACCAGTACCTGGATGAAATAATGTTATATCAATATCATTAACTTTTTGAGCCAAACTTATAAGGTTGTTAAACTTCAAAGATTAGTTACACCAGATTTACACCAGTCTAAGAAGCAGAAAAATAGTTGACACAGAAATAAAAATTAGGAATCAAAATAAATTTTTATCAGGTTTCCTCATTTCCCCAAGTCAAAACCATTATGTTCTTAAATAAATGCAATTTGAGTTAACTATTTAATTTTAAATTAGACAAAGAACTGTGCTCTCATGATCCAGAAAATTCATTAAACTCCAAAATGCAGAATTTATTTGCTTGCTATCCAGTTAAAATACCAATTAAACACATCACCTTGTTAATCTTTAATCAAGAAAATGGATGCTACCTTTAAACTCTTATTCAAGTCTCATATTATAGCATAACACAACAACTCCTCTCATTTATGAGGACTTTGATGTTGCATCCAGCTGTGTTGATAATGTAACAGCCATGCAGCAGTCCCTGGTTATTTGCATTCTTGTTTATGGAATTCATATGGTAGTAGAGATGACTGAAATATCTTGCCTAAATTATTAAAATAATTTAATATATTTTGTCACCTATTTGAGATAAGCACCTAGCATTTTCCATCACTTTTCTTTGTAAGATTTTTTTTTGCTATGTTTATGTCAAGCTTCTCTTGCTAATGGTTCCTGAGAGTATTTTTGTTTGTTTATTAGTTTGTCTTGTTGGTGTTATTTTGTCTTTTAATATTCTGAGCAGTGGGTGACTCAGATAAACCAGTGCCACAAGTGCCTATCATACACCTCTGTCTATGGTGGTGTTTCTTTCACCCATAACTTTTACATGGCACATACCCCTGGGCCAGTGTGAGATGTGTGTGGGGAGGCCTTATTTGCAGTGGTGGTAAGAGATAAGGACCTCCAGGGAGCCAGAGACAACGACCTGCAGGATGAATCAATGCCTCTCAAAGACAGAACAGCTATTTGGCTTAATATGTGCCTCGAAGATGCCTGCTTGTGTTTGATGTGGAGATGGAGGCACGTGGTGACGACCATTTAGGGATTGGCTCTTGAGAATTTGCCAAAGCTTGGTCTCAGTGTTGAGACTTTAAACAGTAAATTTTCATTTAAGTTCTACCCATATAAGTGTCATACGAGCTTTAAGTCTCCTCTCAATCTCACTACTCACACTCTGCCACAGGAATTTAGCTCTGAGACCAGGACTTAAAGGGCCTGGGAATCGTTTGCATCAACAGAGTAATAACACAATAGTGGCTATAGGCAAAACAGACTAAATAATAATTGGATTTTCTCTAGTAGAAATAATTTAAAAATAGAAAAATTCATATAATCTATGCTCCACACTAAAAAGCAAATTTAGGCATGTAAACAGGAATATAGTTTTTTTCTACAACTGGATGTCACAGCTGTAAATTATAATTTTACACTGAAAAAATGGTCTGCAAGGTGTGTGGTATATTCTTAGTGATCAAGGTTTTATTACCATGCTATTCTGAGCATGTAACTGAAGAAGGCTCTGAAATGAGGAGTAATTCCCTTTATCAAGCTGATAAAATGGCAACTAAACTTTCGGACATAGGAGCCATCTTTCAGGTACCCATTTTGCCTTTATCTTCTAGAGGGAAAATGGCTTTCTTGCGAAAATACAAAATTGTATCTTTCTGCTGAAAGGTATTTTCATTGAGAGTTTAATTTACTTTGGTAGGATAAAATGAATTTTCTAATTCATTTCTAATATTTGCTTCTGAGATAGTAGTTTCTTGTTTTTTATTATTTCCAGATTTCTCAGTGGAGGAAAAAGAGGAAACAGTTGCCAGAAAATCATATCAGGAACAGCCTTAATAAGTTGGGGTTCTGAGTTTTTTTAAAGTATTACTTTTAAAAATTAATTTTTTTTTTTTTTTAATTTTAGCTCTTTATACTAGTGTTCTTCACTCATATCTAGTCTCCTGAAACCATTATTAAGGATCCTGTGTTTTATGACATCCTCTTGCTCTTTTAAATTGAAGATACATTATTCTCTTTTGCTGCTACAAACTACAAAAAACGTCTGCCAAAAAATTTACCAGATAAATAATTACTTCTTGGTTTGCATTATCTAAATAGCTGTGTAGAATATTTTCCATTAATTCATGAAATATTCACTGAAGGGCATGAATTGAGCTAACAAATATACAATGAAAATATGCCATGACATTTTTTCTAGGAGTTTTCTTCTGATACCATAGATCTGGAATCTGGCAAAAGATGTTGCATTTTAAGGTAGTTTGCTTCCTCTCATTTATATTTCCATCTCTGAAAAAGCTAGCACTATTCTCGTTCCCATATTATTAATGAACACTGAGGAAAATTTCTATTTATTATCTCTGACTAATGCTATTTCACAGCTTTCAAAGATCCTCTACATCCTGTCAATTTGGTGCATGGGAGAATGGTGTTTTTGTGTTATCAGGCTTCACTCCTATCTTGCCAGGCATTCATGGCTGAGAAGTATGCCAATCAATTGATAAAGAAAAGATAATGAAGCGTAATCAGCTTTTGCAATAAATGGCAAGCCTCCCAATCACTGACAGGGTCTGTGCTTAGTACTGTTATATTTTTCAGTTTTCAAAAGCTTCATGCAGCTTTTGCTTCTAATCCTGCTCTGTGTGCTGTATTCTTGCAAGCCAAGTTCAGCCCTCTGGCCATGCATACTCTCAGCCTTAGCTGACCTCTTCAGAATTTTAACTTTGTTTACTCCTTGGTGAAAAAAAACCAGACTTCATATCCACTTTGGGGCACTTCTGTTTGTCTTTTCTTATTCTGAAACTTGATTTTATCTTTGCCGGTTAAGGACTGATTTTGCGAAGAATTACTTTTCGTTTCAAGAGTGCTCAAAAAAGTCAGCATTTGGCTTTATAAAGGAAACAGAACTCTTCATAAGAAAAATAACGGGATTTTTCAGACTGTTTGGAAGAAATTGCAAATTTTCCTCTCCCATATTTTATCTCTAGTGAACTCCTTTTTATTGATTTAGATCAGATGCTTGTATCTGCGGTCAGAACTGTCAGAAATAGCTGATCCCAGCAGCAATGGGCCAGGAAACAGTGTGCCAGCCATGAATCCTATTGCTGTGCAGCTCATCTGCGTGTCCAGAGCTTTGTCACAATTACACCAAGACCCTGAAGTCTCCCTGGCTCCTCTGGCTATAGTAAATGCCAAAGCTCCCAATATAGCCGTAAGGTAGTTTGGATGGCCCTTTTGCAAGGGAACATAGTGGCCCAATCCTGACTCAGAGTTAAGGCCAGACCCTGGCTGATCGTCAGGTCCTGTTCTTGTGATGTCCCATGCCAGAGACAGAAGCATCAGTCTCAAGGACATGGAGAACACGTGCATTAGCTGGTGCTGTATGGTTTCACAATCTGTGTGGGCATCAGAATGAATATGCTGCACTGTTTTAGGATACATGATAAGAGTAGGAGACAAGACTTTTAAAATTACATAATTAAAAGAGCTCTTTTGGCTTTCAAATTTTGATAAGACATTCATTGGGATTCAGCTCTAACTTAGGTACATCTACTTCCTTACCTTGGATGCAGAAGGATTCTTCATTTGCACAAATATCCTTTCATGAAGGGTGAAAATATCCAGTACATAATTTACTGTGGTAGAATAAATTTTGTTAACTCTCAGTTTCCTTTAGTAGCCTACAAACCACTGAATAACTTCTCAACCATATTAACTGTAAACAGAAAATATGACTCTAAAGCAAAATAATCATCTTGCTTTCTCTTA